TCTCAATCTAGTAAGTCAATCTTTTTCAATTCGATAGAGGAGAATAAGAATTATTGATTTTATTTTGATATCGTCTTCTTATTTTTATACTAAATGATATTGTGAGAAACATAAATGCGTCAAGAATATTTTCTGTCTCGGAAGTCCTCTCTGAGGGTGCGTGTCTCTCAATTTTTAGCCAAGTCCTACGGTATTTTCAAACCCTCCCGTTAAGAGTGACGAGTCTTCTTCGTCAGAGAAGATTGAGAGGCGCTGAATTAAAGGGTGTCCTCGCGCACCCCGTCGTTACGGATGCGCTCGGTGCATAATCGACTCGCAATTTATGTCCCGGGCAACCGTGTGCACGTGGGTGGCCGCGCGCGGCCAGACCGTATCGCTCATTTCTCCCTTTCCTCCGCGCTTCTTCCTGCTCGGTTTATTTGCTCGCGTTTGTCGGCGAGGTGGTCCCCTCGTGGTACAGTACCGCGCGTACACGCATCGCCACGCAACGCGACCTCGATCCTATCTTGTGTTTAGAGATTGCGCCGCCGCCGCGTCGTAGATTCACGACGACGCACCGCGCGCCGTTCATGCCGAATTTCACCGCGATTCCTCCCCGAGTCGAGACCTACTTAGCTGATCCCTATAACCTACATAGACCAGCAATAATCTACTTTGATGACATTACATTTTTACTCCTCCCTTCAATCTTTAATTCTAAAAACGTATTTCAACTCCTACTTAAAAGGACCCACTTTAATGCTAAATTGGCAAAAGCAGAAATTCCCAACACTATCAGTTTTGAAGTAGGTGTAAATTTTGCACTTGCAGTTCGACCTCTATTACTGTCTTAGGTCCTACTACATGATAGAATTGGCGGTTCAACGTGGGGCCAAAATCTCGACTCGAGTCGCAGAATCGTTTCGTCGATTCGCACGTCGCAGTCCAAGTATGCTAATACGCGACGGTGAGTGGTCGGTCAGCGCCGGGGATCTTCGCGTGTCAACTACGTGTCGCGTCTTCGCCGCGGAATCTCGTATATTCTCTCCGCGCGGGAGATTTTAGTCAAACACGAGAATTTCTATTCGAGCGCACGCCGGCCTAAGCAGATTCGTGAACGGTTTGTTAACTGTAAAAGGCGCGCGTCGCGCAACAAGGGGGGGGGGAGTCGGCTTTTCGGCGCGGTCGTTCACTCTCTCGTCCGCTTCCTCGCCTTTCCTGTCGCGTCCGCGCGCAAACTGCGCAGCAAACAAACCCAAGTACGTTTACCTCGCTCCCGCGACTACCGCGATCCGTTCGATTCTTTTTTTATCATTCCCCTTGGCTCGCTAAATCCCCCGAGGCGTTTAATGATGCGTCGTGTGTATTAAAGAAACGATATTTCCACTCGAGACCCGCTTTCTCCGGAAAGCCACGCACGTCTCGTTGCGTACCACGTGCAAACTGCAATGGGCGTAAATACTTGGGAATCGCCAAGTCAAGTTGAATTAATCAACGTACGTTTCGTCCGAGTCATTTGCGAGATCTACGCGATTAAACTTTATCGGTGCGTCGCGAGCCTAATCGCACGACGCACGGTAATGATTGCGGAATGACGGCGAAAACTCGTGATACGACACGAACAACGACGGAGATACGGATCGAAGAGCAAAGCTGCTAACCTCTTTATAATTCTATTCTCTCGGTGAGGAGCTGATACACCACGCGCAATTATCTGCGATTTAGTAGAACGATAAAGACGCGCAACGTCTATTCGGCTTACACTCGCGTATTCATTGATGTTTCATTGTTATCTTGTCAATCTGATTTCTGGTGTTTCTACCGTTTCATTGTTCTATGCGCATTTTCAAATACAGCATACTAGAATCTAGAAACCAACAATTTCGTCCTCGAAATGCGAAAAGTGCATGCTCGACATGCAAGTACGTGTCAAAAAGTATAAAAATTGTGATAAATACTCAAAATGTCGTACGAAAAGATATAAATATACATTTAAGAAATATATATATGATATATACAAAAGTATTAATATTGATAATTCAAGCTGGTACAAACCTTTTCTTAAAGCGTTTATTTTGATTCCAAGTGCTTAATACTTCTTTACGGATATAAAATCGATCGAAAGGGATTATCACAGACGAGGATCGATAAGAGAAACACAGAAAGTCTGATAAAAGTAGTTTGAGACAATTCAAAGGTTCACCCTTGAATAAGCTTCCAAATATAATAATAAAACGTCGAGAGTAATGTACACAGATAAGGAATGAAAACAGCGGATCTGTTTCTTTTTTATTTTTAGAAAGGACAGATATATCGATACGTCTAAAGCCCATTCTTATCGCTACGATATCGTGCAGGGCGTATCGTATAAATCAAAATATAATCTGCTCGTGCACACGTTGCAATTTAGCGAGCCTAACATAACCAGAAGTTCGCAACACGAACAACAGCGATTACAAATTCAAGCATACGTGCCGGTAAGCGTGACTTACCGCTCCTTGCTGATTTAAGCAAGGATTAAATGTCACCGTTCACGGGAACTATTTCATCGTCCTTACGCTATTCACGTTCCCACAAACGGCGGCAATGTTTGCACCTCTTTCGAAGAAGCCTGTTGTTAGCGCAAAAGAAAAGCGAAAAATGTACGATACAGTTCGCTAATATTATCGGAAAGACGGTTATTGCCGTGTCGGTAGCGCGAAAATTGGAAAGAGTCTAAAAGTGTTGAACGATAGGCAATGTGTGGGCAAATATGAAATGGGATGGGACTCGCAATAAAAAGTACATCTTACCTCCGGGTCGACAATATACTCATATCCAAAGCTACACTGCAAACATATAAATGAGATGATCAAGAGAAAAATGGGTAAATTATGGTAAAACAAACCTTGATCGCAACAATGCTCGACATGTAAGAGACATTGATTAGTAAACATTAATTACAAATGCATTCGGAGGGATATCCGCCGTGAACTTGGGTGAGAATCCGACGATTTCCGTTGTTTGTAAGCAAAGTCTATGTGAAGTCGGAGATAAAACAGGAGCTTATCATCTTAAGCATTGTTGTAGGCAGCGTCAAAAAATAAGAGCTTATCAGACCTGCTCGTTAAAGCTGCGATAATTCCCGGCGTGTTTCGACCGGCGCGAGCGTATCGAGTACCGACGATAATTAAGCGTAACATCTTGATACCGGCCGTGTCGTAATATTATCGAAAAAGCGATTATTTATAAAATTATCTCAACGTAATCTCCGTTATCGAGCGCGCCCGACCCGTTCCGTTTCTCGGCGCGATAAGCGCGTCACGAAATACGAGCTCAAAGCAATCCGATGCATGGAAATCGATACCGCGTTGGGAATCGCGTAAGCTCCCGGTCTCTTCCTCGAGTTATCGCGATTATAATCGGCTGAGATCTTAGAGGCGGACGTACTGCCCGGATATTCCCCTGGTACCGCGTCGAAAAGAAATTAAAACTCTTTCTTTCCCCCCCCCCCCTCCTCATTTATTATTATCGTCGTTACCGTTATCGTTTCCGATCAGTGATCATCGCGGGCATTCAGGTATTGAGGTCTGCTCGAAAGGAAAAGCGCGCGTATCAGACTTACGGCATGTCCTTGACAACCAGCTTCGACTCAATTGGACGTAATCGACGTAATCGATCACCTCGTCGAAGTCGCGCAACAGCGCGCCGTTTTCGTCCCTCTGGCGCTTCCTGGGGACATCCTTGCCGCGGGGGTGGTGGTGGTGGTGGTGGTGGTGATGATGGCGGTGAAGGTGGAGGTTCTCGGACTGTCCCAGGGGGTTCGGGCTCTCCGTCAGATCTTCTTCCGTGACGCTTGTTAGCAAGGAGGTATCAGCGGAGTCTGCTGCCATACCGACGGCACTGCAATGAGACCGGTCGAAGATGGGTTTTCAGCGAGCATCACAAAAGCACTAACCTACGATAACGATAATCGCGCGTCCGACGATCGCCGTATTTAAATTCGACGCATTTCATTTGCTTGGTGTCAAGAGTGCGAGAACGGGCGGCGATAATTTTAACAAATTAAGCGCGGCGTCGCGATACGTCCGGCCGCGTTGCACAAAGTAACGGATACGCAATCGCGTACTTGTCGCTTTGTTACGCAAAACCGCGTGGAAGCGCGGCAAAAGAGAAGAGCCACCGGAGAGGACCCGTGGATCCCCGGCTGCTGCGCCGCGCGATCTATCGCCATGCGGATCGATCGTCGAGTCGCCGCTACGGTTACCGAAAAAGCTCATTTCGAGACGAAGCTCGCGGGTGGGAGATCAAAGGAGAGTAAAACTTTGGAAAGTTAACGGGATTCTGCCGAGTAAGATGACGACGGGCGAGAACGGAGATGTCCCCGGGGCGCGTCGTCGTCCCGCGTTTAATTAGCGATAACCCAGATTGCGGCACGTACAAAGCGAGTTATCGCGGGGCGCAAAAAAACGCCGCGCGTTATCATCGACGCTACACGCCGGCGGAATCGCGCTGCGCGAAGACAGATGCGTATCTCGACGGTGCCCCCCCGGACCCCGATAGCGGCCGCGGCGGCGACGTTTTACTATCAGCGCGTAATCAATCGACGCTCGTCGCAGTTATCGTTTCACGGTACCGTACGGCGCGGCGCAGCGCGGCGGCTCTCGTCTCCCGAGCGCGGCATCGAGCTCTCTGTTTTATCAGAGGCGGCGGAGAGCCGCGCGCGCCGCGGAGAACGGCAGCCTGCACGTGCCGCCGCGGACAAGGACGTCCGCCCGCTCGCGGCGGATGAACGCCCGGGTGTATCCCGAGGGACTACTCCTGGTCGGGGCTTCCTGACAAAGGCCAGCGCGGAGTGTGCCTTTCGTCATCCGCGCGACGACGAGTCGGGAAAGAGGTATCGATCCGGGCGAGCCGGGCTCAATAATTCCGACAAGGGTCCCTTCTCTCGCTCCTTTAACGCGGGAACGCAATTTGTTAGCTCCTGCGCGATGCACACTGCCCGCCGCACGCTCTCTCTCTCTCTCTCTCTCTCTCTCTCTCTCTCTCTCTCTCTCTCTCTCTCTCTCTCTTTCTCTCTCTCCTCCTCCTCCTCCCCTTTTCCTAGTCCTCCCTCGCACGCGGTCACGACGGTTCGGTTCTTGGGTCTCCTCGTCCTCTTACCTCGCCATTCGGCTCAAGAGCATCGATCTTATCATTAATTCGGCGGATGAGCGCGAAGGTGAAATCGACCTTTGTACCTCTTGTACACCTCGAATATAGAGAGCCGACGGTGACGCGTAATGGCAATTGTTAACTAGCGATCGCTTACATACGGGCTCGAGATAATTTTTGACAAAGAGAGGAGAGAACAATAGGCGATAACGAAAATTCTCTCCGCGCGCCGAGAGAATTATTCGACACGCGGTATTGAGTGCGAATTTAATTTTTCATACCTGCGTCGCGGATTGTTTCACCGTGGCGGAACACGTTGCGATACGTGAGCTCGGTATGCGATCAGCTGTGCTAAAACTCGTAAATATTCACCGGCGCGCGCATACCTGATTTTATGGCTATTATCGCCGCGCAGCTTGCGGAAAGCTATACCTCCGTTGCAACACCGCGCGATAGAGCGTAGCGAGAACACGTGCCGCCCACATCGATCGACTCCGCCACCGACGAATTCCGATATCGATAGTAAGGCGATAGCGATAACGTGGGACGATTTCACGAGTGGCCCCGTGCGTACGTCTTGCTTACAATGCAATTCCGAGTAAACGCGGGACTTGACAATTTTTCACAGCCGGTAATACAAGGGGGTAACCGCTAGCTAAAATGTTGTCCCACCGATTACACGATTTCATCCGGTTACAAATAATCTCATCCAATTGCAAATAATTTTCTCATATTTGAACTTTGGAGGAGGCAACTTCACGCAGTCCACCATCTTTAAAATTTCAAAGAAATGCTTAGGGCCAGTTTCGCAAACGTTCAGTCGACTCCCTATCTTTTTCTATCTTGTTATCTAAGAAGAGACAGAGAATCAATTAACTTACGGCTAGCGGTTAATCAACGTTTGCGAAACTCGCCCTTGGTACCGGTATTCATAGTCCGTTCTTATATTTCAGATCATCTTAAGTCTACAAGTCTACAAGCAAATACTCTTAATGTCTTTTTAACCAATCACAGAACTGTACTGGTCTCTTAAGACAACACTTAAGATGATTCTGAAGTACGAACCGACTATGAATATTAGGGTTCTGGCAGCCTCCCGAAGAGTTCTAGAGTACTTGGCCGAGCTTAGATTGATTGATCACAATACGACATTTTCTAGTATGCAATCAATTAGCGCACCGATATAATTCCGAAAGAAGGAGAGAGAACGAAACTTTGGCAAAATCTAAGCTTCTTTTACAGGGGGGGCAATAGAAGAATATGACCTATTTGTTCGATCGATTCGGCTATTCAGCGTTCACGAACGAAAAAGCTAGGGATCGGTTTACGTGCACGCGACATTTGACAAGTACGGTATCGCTTTTTCGCGCATCAAGGAGCGATGGCATTGCCTACGATAGCATCTAACGGACTCGATGTCCGGTCGCATGGACCATCAGGGCCTGAGGACGACATGTCAGAAAGGACAAGTGGTCGTAATACAAGCGGGGGAACGGGTTTCATACCAGCCCCAGAAGTTTCCCCGAGATTGCCAGTTACAAGAATAGTACCTCCGGTTTATCCTAGCGCCAACCCCCAAAAACCGATATCCCGTTCCAGGCAAAGTTCGAATAAGTTGGCGCGCGGGAAACGCGAGGGAAAAAGTTGATACCGCGAAATCGATATGGATATCACTGCTGTTTTCCCCGGAACAGGTGTCACGTATTTTGCGATGAATAAAATCGATTACACGGTGCACTCGCGGTGTGTCCGCGCGCGCGTCCTCCCTAACAATTTTATATCTCGCGCGATCACCCGCGTCGTCTTATCCCCGTAACTTGAGATAACTATAATGCACTTATCGTGTTATGTATTTCGTTACATCGAATCTCCTGCAAACGCAATACGTCAATTAGTTGTTATTGAATTAGCGAGGCGAGTTTATTTCGCTGTTATCGTGCCGCCTGTCAAAACTTTAATTTCCGTAAGAGCGTCGTCGAAAAATTCCTTCTCTCTCTCTCCCTGCATTTTCGCTCCTAATGTCCCTTCCATGCTGCGGCGTTTACGAACGGTGACGCGAGCTCGCTTGATGCCCGACGTTGAGGGACGTATACACCTCCGGCCTTTTCCCGCCTTTTATTTCAACGACAAAAACACGACGGCATTATCCGTGCGCGCCGACGCGTTATCGGGGGCGGGAGTCTTGCGCGCAAAAATTTCCCATAATAGTTCGCGTTTACGGCGTATCATAAACGAAAATCCAATAGATCGGAATTTGCGAACCGAGCTTGCGTCCGACGGCTGATCGCGCGACACGTCGCGGGATAAAACACGATCGCGGTACACGTTTTCTCGTTAATCTCGTCAATTCGCTACCTCCGCGTAAAAAGAGATCTGAATTTTTGCGAGATAAGCCAAGAATTTCCGACGGTCCCGCGCGCATCTTGTTTTCAGTTCTGTATAAAAACGCCGATGAATTTCGTCATTTCCACGATTATATTCACCGTTTAAATTGTACAGCATTTATAACGTTGATCGCTCGTGACGTTTATCGGTTATATAAACCATTTCCTCGGAATGAATTATATGAATAATACTTGGATATTTAGAAGACACTCAAGTGGAAGAAAGATAAAAGGCTTTTGTGCAACCTGTTCGAGTTTTCGCGTAGCGCTCGTAAGACAAATAAAACTGGTCCGAAGTTAGAACTGACCGGAAGTTTCTTCGAAATGACCGGACAGGAAGACAAAGAAGGGAGAGAAAGAGAGGGCGGGGAAGAGAGAGAGGGAGAGAGAGAGAGCTCTCTCGACTTTACGGCTACGCCGGCTCGGAAACTGGGGGTTACGCAAAACGGATGAGCCCCAGAGATACCGCGTATCGTTTACCGACATTTACTAGCGGAAGAGATGGTAAATTACGCTCGCGTATCTCTCGTGTACGAGCTGCTGCCGCCGCTGCTGCTGCTGCTGCTGTGCTGCGCGCGGTAAAACATTACGACAATATTTTGCTTTCGATTCGGAGTTTGTTTTCGATGATATTCATCGAGTGTTCGATAATGGGTGTAGACCAGGGATATTTTCTGTTGAAAATTGAAACAATATTTTCTCTGGCGAGAATTTTATCAGAAATTTTCAATCGCAATTTAATCGCGCCTTAATTGTACACTGAGAAACATTTTCACCGGATAAGCCGGTGAAGTAGTGTTTTCGATGGCTAATTTTTCCGATTACGTTTTCCGATAAAATTATGGATACATCCGACGAAATGCAGCTACCGATGAAATTGGATTGAAAAACCGGCCACTTTTTCATCGGATATACAATTTAATCGGATATATCCGTTTGTTATCATGTAATTAAATTATCCGTTTATATTTAATCGGATATTTTTCTCAGTGTACACTGAGAAATATCGGATAAACCAATGAAGTAGTGTTTCTGATGGTTAATTTTTTCGATTACGTTTTCTCGATAAAATTATGGACACACTCGATTGGTTTTCTCGAAGCGCGGTGTGCTTCACTTCTCTTTTAGATTCATAGTAAATGAAGATTTGCAATTTAGAAATGTACATTTGTATTCACCAACTATTGCGGTAAAATCTCTAAATCTTAGTAATTAGAATTTAAGTAACAACGAATTTTGTTTCGAAACATTTTCTCGATACAACAGAATTAATCGTTAATTTAATCAATACCAGTAAGTCCACAGAATGATACGCAAAACGTAGTAACAGCCGCGGAACAAAGTAATGTAAAATATAATATTATA